GTTTCTAATTAAAAGTTTGCAAAATATTTTAAATAAATAGTAGGCATAAAAATGATTCTTTAGGTATGTTTTATATATCGCCTTTTTAACTTAAATATGAATTAAAATATGTATACTTTATAATTATAATATAATTATAAAATATACATAAAATATTTTATATGTATATTATATAAATAAATTCTGTATATAGAAAATAAAAATTTTGAAAAAAATTTGTGATTGATCAAATGTTTTTCTCTATGGCTGTGAATATTTAAAAGGAAGTATGCAAAATATTGAATAAATGTTATTCCGCTAATTTTTTACGAGTATTTGAAGAAAACTTCGAATGTCTCATTATGTAAACGTAATATTTCGACTGATTATGATACTCAAACACTTTATTACCTAGAAGCATTGCATATTCAAAATGTAATGAAATTACAACGCTTTAACATGCTTTTACAAATTGCTTAGCACGAATCTGTACTAAAACGCAACACAATTAACTGACTTTTGGACTACCCTATGCTTCTTTTGAGAAATTGAACGATATGCGTCATATCCAAGATCTCATTTACTGGGTTTCAATTTTCAAATTGCAGACCTACAGATTTTCACTGGTGTTAGTCACTCGTCTGTCTGTCTGTCTGTCGGTCCTCAATCTAGAGAATGGTATTAGATAGATGAAAACACAGGCCAGTTTTGTAAAGCTTATGGGCAGTAGCCCCGATTAACTATAACGGTTTGAACCGAAAGTCACGTGATTTTTTAAACTAAAAAAATAATTAAATGCCCTGCATCGTGACGACGTCATAATTTTTTCTACATCATTTTTTCATTAATGAGTGGCCAAGTAACAACAATTTAAATTTAAACAAATAAACAAAGTATAAAATCAATTTTTAATTACATTTTAACATTTATTTTCGTCAATTAGACAATTACACTATTGGAAATTTATTTAATGATAAATAATATATTTTGTATCAATGGAAATGAAATATAGATATAATCATAACATAAAGAATTTCGGATATAGGGCCTATACACACTTAATAAAAAATATTAATTTAATATATTAGATAAGTAAATTTAAATAAATATTTTAAGTTATTACATTAATATAAAAGTAAATGTTATCATCCCACGACATTTTTTGAATCATTAAACAAATAGAGGAGAAGGTGGTATTATGGAACACTGCGGGTATTATGGAACCACCCCATTTCGAACTGATAATAAAGGCGAACTGTAGCGGAATGTGGCTGAACTGAACTAGGCAGACATCCATAGTAAGGGGAAAACCCGTTTTACTTCAGTTAAACGGTTGTTCGTATTTAATCAGCAAATTTGTTTTTTTCAAAATTCACAAGTTTTGAATGCTAAGTGAATTTAATTATTTTTAAAATATAAATCGTGTAGTTGTAGGTTCACTGGTGCATGTATTCCGTTCCAGAGACTTAGGGGTACATATTAATCTGTGTGATGTTCACGTTTTTTAAATTTTGGTCTTGACAGACATAAGTTAATTCGAGATGGCGATGCGTGAAATACGGACCCCATTGGTGCTTTTACAGTAATATGGAACTCAACTCCTCCGAACTTTCTATTTGCAAGCAGACATTCCTCCAGAGCAATTTGTGAAAAAGACACTAGGTAGAAAGCCAATTCTTCCTGAGAATATCGAAAAAGAGCTGCTGGAATATATATTGTTGATGGAGGTCATATTTTTCTATTATAAAAGCATTTTTGCGATAAAATACATTGGAGTAAATAATTTTGTAATTATTTAACATTTTTTGTCCTTTCCTATTTGTTTTTGGCTACATTAAAGCATTTTTTTGAAAATATACAGTAAGGTTCCATATTACCACCCGATTTTCTCTAAGCCTACTTTCGGACTTTTTGTACAAAAGCCTTCAAAAACCATACTTATAATTACACTAGCGAAAAATCCAATTAGGAACATTTAGTTTACTAGTTACCAGTACTTTTCGCACAAAA